TCCAACTCAAAAAAAAAAAAAAAAAAAAATGGCTAGAGCCAATGCAGTGGCTTATGCCTGTAATCCCAACACTTTGGGAGGCAGAGGCTAGAAGATTGGTTGAGTCCAAGCGTTCCAGATCAGACTGGGCAACTTGGTGAGACCTCGTTTCTACAATAAATCAAGAAATCAGCTGAGCATGGTGGCACACACCTGCAGTTCCAACTACTTGGAAGGCTGAGGCAGAAGTATTGCTTGAGCCCAGCAAGTCCAGGTCATGGTGGCCATGAACATACCTGGGTGACTGAGTGAGACTTCAACTCAAAAAAAAAAAAAAAAAGATAATTACTGAGCTGAGAGAGTTTATATTCTGGTAGACAGAGAAAAAAAAAATGGCAACAAAGTTTTTGTAAAAGTACCTGTAGCTCCAGCTACTTGGGAGGTTGAGGCAAGGGGATCATTTGAGCCCAAGAGCTCAAATCCAGCCTGGATAACATAGCAAGACCCCTGTCTCTCTTTTTTTTTTGAGTTGAAGTTTCACTCTGTCACCCAGGTTGGAGTGCAGTGGCACGCTCACGGCCACCACAGCCTCTACCTGCTGGGCTTAAGCAATCCTTCCACCTCAGCCTTCCAAGTAGCTGGAACTACAAGGGTGTGCTACGACACTCGGCTAATTTTTTGATTTATTGTAGAGATGAGGTCTCACCAAGTTGCCCAGGCTGGTCTTGAACCCCTGAGCTCAGGTAGTCCTCTTGCCTTGGCCTCCCAAAGTGCTGGGATTACAGGCTTGAGCCACCGTGCCAGGCAATAATGAACTTTCATGTACTCATCACCAAATTTTTTTCATAGTCATTTAATTAACTTATTTATTTGTTTACTTATTTATTGTGAGTTGTGGGGTACATGTGAAGATTTGCTACATAAGTAAATTGGGTAGACATGAGGTTTGGGCTTCTAGTGAGCCCTCTCTCCCCCAGTAGTGGACATGGTACCAAATGGGTGATTGTGTGTTTAGTATCCGAACCCCTCCTTTAGCAGTGCCCAGTGTTTGTTGTTCTTGCCTTTGTGTTCATGTGACCAATGTAGGACCCACTTATGAGTGAGCGCATGCAGTATTCAGTTTTTTGTTTCTGTGATAGTTCATTTAGTGTAATGGTCTTTAGCTGCATCCATGACACTGTAAAGGACAGGATTTTGTTCTTTTTTATGGCTGTGTCATCACCAAGTTGAAAGTTATAAACAAATGCCTAACCTTTTTTATTTTTTTTTTGTGAGTTGAAGTCTCACTCCATCACCTAGGCTGGAGTGCAGTGGCACGCTCACGGACACTGCAACCTCGACCTGCTGGGCTCAGGTGATCCTTCCTCCTCAGTCTTCCAAGCAGCTGGAACTACCAGCGTGCACTATCGCTCCCAGTTAATTTTAAAAAATTTTTTGTAGAGATGAGGTCTCACCAAGTTGCCCAGGCTGGTCTTGAACCCACAGACTCAGGCAATCCAATCGCCTGGGCCCCCCAAAGTGCTGGAATTACAGGCTGAGCCACCGAGCCCGGCCATGCTAATCTTGTTTCACCTATCCTCTCACCCACTTTCCCTTTTTATATTATTGTGAAGCACATGATAGATATCACACTACTTCACCTATTAATAATTTAGTATGCTATTCTAAAAGAGTAACTCTTTAAAAACATAATCACATAAAAGTAATAAAAAAACATAATCACAAAACTATTATTGTACCTAAAAAAAAAATAATATCATGAGGTGAATGGATTGCCTGAGCCCATGGGTTCGAGACTCGCCTGGGCAGGCGAGACCTCATCTATACAATAAATCAAAATATTAGCTGGGTATGGTAGCACGCGCCTGTAGTTCCGGCTACTTGGAAGGCTGAGGCGGAAGGATCGCCGCAGCCCAGCAGGTCGAGGCTGCGATGGCCAGGAGCAGCCACTGCACTCCAGTCTGGGTGACAGAGCAAGACTCCAACTCAAAAAAATAAAAAATAAATAAATAAAGATATGGAGAAAGTGGACAAGCAATTGGTAAGAACTCCTGGACAATAAAACTGTCCCGGACTGTTCAAGAAGAGTTACTCACAATTTTCTCATGAGTACATTTAAAGATTAATGATTAATATAATCATTATCATTATCTTTTTTTTTTTTTTTTTTGAGTTGGTGTCTCATTCTGTCACCCAGGCTGGAGTGCAGTGGCACACTCACTGCCACCACAGCCTTGACCTACTGGGATCAGGTGAGCATTCCAAATTGCTGGAACTACAGGTGTACACTATCATGCCTGGATAATTTTTTTACTGTAGAGACGAGATCTCACCAAGTTGCCCCAAGGGTCATGAACCCCTGGACTCAGGCAATCCTCTCGTCTCGGTCTCCCAAAGTGCTGGAATTACATGCTTGAGCCACTGCACCTGGCCTAATTTTTATCCAATTTTAATTGACTACTACTAGTAGAACTGATTTGCATAGCATGTGCATAGTCATGGCTAAAACTGCACCCAGTAAGTTTTTTATCTGTAAAATTTAACCCAGATAAATTGCACATGGTCAAAATCATGACCACAAAGGGATACAATAACAGAAAACATAAAAAAGAGACCAAATAAAACTGATAATCACATTTCTTTGTAAAAAAAATTTTTTTTTTTTTTTTGAGTTGGAGTCTCACTCTATCGCCCAGGCTGGAGAGCAGGGGCATGCTCCTGGCCACCCCAGCCTCAACCTATTGGGCTCTGGCGATCCCTCTGCCTCAGCCTTCCAAGTAGCCGGAATTACAGGCATGCGCTACCACGCCCGGCTGATTTTTTGATTTATTGTAAAGATGCGGTC